ACTAACTATATTCAGGGATAAAAAACAGAAAATAGCAAATCAACTGAACAAACATTCATTCATCCATCCAGTTCATCCGTGATATTTACCAGAAAACATTCCTTTTCTAAAACCGTCCAGCCATGAAGGAAGGATTCAGGATGTCATGTAATTGCAGAACCAGAGGTGTAATAGCATCATCTTACATTCATAATCAATTTATATTAAAATCTTTTTTAAAGCCATTTTTAATTTTTCTTGCTTAGTTAGGACTGTGCTTCTGATTCTGTTTCTCTAACATGAGCAGCTCATGAACTGCCTGTTCAATAAAACCTTCAAGGAATTTGAGAAAAAAAATAAAATTTAGAGTACTTACGTTCATTTAGGGTCCTTTTCCACTGACTTGATGTTACATGTTTACTTTTAAGATTTGTAGAGTTGTCTTTGCCTTTTCTCTCCCCCCTTATGGGATAACCAGAAAAACCTTGTTCAGCTTGGCCAAAGAGGTTCCTTGTTCTGAGAGGTGAGTAAACAAGGGTGCAGGGAACCTTTCACTACAGCCGGTTGCTTAGACCTCCACCTAATATGGTCTTGAACACTTCCACGGATGGGGCATTGACAGTTTCTCTGAACAATGTGCTTGAGTGCCTCACAATCCTCACAGAAAAGAATGTCTTCCTAATACCTAATTGAAATCAACCTTCCTACAGTTTAAGGCCATTGAGTTGACATCAGATTGATGAGGAATTTACCTGTCAGTACAATGACCTGTTAATCACACTGCTGATTCAAAGGCCTTGTGTGCCGCAGAGCCTTGGATTGTCTCCAGCTGTGGCTGCAAGTGCACGGTGAGGTCAGAGTAAGAAAGCATGTGTGCTAGTTCCTCTTTCTTATTCTCCCAGCCTTCACCTTTTTTCTTGGCGGGGCTTCCAGAACCAGAATTGGTTTGGGTTATCAGTAATCTCAGTGGATCTCTTCCAAATGCTCAGCCAATCTCCCCTAGAAAGAAAGGCTCTTTGGGGCAGAAAGGTCCTTTGGCAAAGATTTTCATAGGTCTGCTGCTGTCTGTATAAAGAAGCTGATTCTTCTGACAGTTCATTGCTGTCCAACTTCTTGCTACTCATTGCTCCAATGACCTCATTTCTGCCCTGCATTGCCTTTTCTGAGTCTCAGATGCTCCTTGTGGTCAAGGTACTCAATAACTTTGATCAATCATCCTTGTCATTCCCCTCCCCATTCCCTTCATTTTTTGGGCAAATACATGTTTATGCAAGGTTATAATTTTATAATTGTATTTTCTATTTTGTTGCCTATTACTCTACTAACAACTCCTACCATTTGATGTATCTGTCTCTATTGTTTTTTTTTTTAAACCATGTCTGAGAAGTTTTACTGCAATTCTTTATTCATACCTCAGACCCTTACTTTGAATGGTAATGGCCAACAAAATGGTTGTCTCCTTGCCTTAGGAACGGGCCACACAGTTGCACTGAAAATTATTGAAGGCAACATAATGAATAAAGCAATTTACAGAGGAATACTTCCGCTCACAGGAAAGTCAGGGTGAGTCAGAAGTGAAGAGAAAGAATGGCTGAGATATAGTTCAGAATCTATTGCTAGAAAGTATCTGTCATTTCTAATACATGGCAAGTGGCATACAATTTTAAATGTAACTGAGAAATTATCTTAGCAAGATAAAAATAGGTCATAAAATATTCTTTCTCAAATGAGAGACCTCTTTGGCTGCTTTGATTATTTCTGTCTTACACATTTTCCAGAATCATCAAATTCTTTGCAACAAAGGAACCCCTCATGACCTGGATCTTTACAGCGGTGCTTGCTGTTATTATATTGAAAAGTTTAATTTGCTTCTAGCAGAAGTCAGACCCTTTTCTCTGAAAGACACAAAATGAGAAGGTAGTCACTTAAAATTAACTCCTTCACTGTCTCCTGCTTCCTCGTAGGTCATAGGTGTATCTATGCCATAAAGAGAGATGCTGGCATAAGACAAATGGCTTAAGTTCACATTTCAAACTTGTTTCTTTCTTCCCTGATAGACAGTTTTAGTGCACAGGTGCTCATCAGCACTTACTGAAAAAGAAAATCGATTATCTAGCATCAAAGATGCAAAGCTGAAGGGTATCAACTCAGTTGTGAAGTCAGGTAGATGTTTACTTCTTATGCAGTGCCATGTGTTCACTAAAACTGTGAAGTGCTCAACTTCTGTAACAGTAGAGACTGAAACAACTGCACAAACAGATATGCAAAGAGACTTGATTCCATAGTAAGAAGTATTTTTATAAATGATCTTTGAATCTTATTCTATTTTCCTTTAGTATGGCAGTAAGAGTACGAAGACCTGAAGTTCAGTGTTTTAGAGACAAACCTACTTTAAAGTTTTGTCTCAGAGAAAGAAAGCCTCTGAAGCCTATATTACTTTAAAATGTGGTTGAAAATTTGGTTTTCTTGATAAGTACTTTGGGATAAATGTTCAGCTAGCTATGTGGAAAATTAGCAGTATTAGTCTATTCTCTGCCCCATTAGTCTAAAGCTACTACTAATTCCCTGCACATCATACTGAATATTTACATCTTTGTTTAGTATCTAGATGAGCCATGATAATATTGTTTTCTCCCTGCTGCAGTTTTCTGTAATACTAAAAGGGAAAACATAAACATGTAATAAAGACCATTTTTCGTTAAATGTGTTCAATTCTATTTAAAAGATAGTATAATTACAGTTTGAATTAAACCCTAAATTGTGACTAAAATGGCTTCATTGCATATCTTGGAAATAGCAGATTGGATTAAAGTTCTGTGGGCACTGTGAATGTAGATAATTTCCTTGTGTGCAAAAGCTACGAGTTTCAGAGAAGCTTAAGAGGGGCATTAGCCTAACGCTGGGGTGGTACAGAGAGTGAGTTATATTAGCAGTTTTAAATCTGGTGGCAAATACTGTCAACAGGATGGATTTCAATCATTTATGAATGGTTGTCTTCTACATCAGCTGCAGACAAGTAAAACACTGGGAAAACAAAACAACTCTAATTGTTGTGTTGGCAACATTGCACATTGATTGCACAGTTTGAGGAACATGATTGGATCTTATTTTCAGTCTATCTGACTGCTTCCTGCTGAGGGTCATAGCTGAGCTGGACAGCAGTCCCAAAGTGAACTGAATGGAGGTGATCAACTCAAAATAGCTTTTATGAGCCCCAGGTTTCAAAATAAACCAAGACAACACTTCTATTGTTGTCTAGCCAAGTGATAGTTATCTTTCTTTTGCAGGTAGTTTATTTAGTTTCTTAGCTGTTCCTCTCAATTGTAACTTTTAATGTGACTCTGATTATCTTAGGATTTTATTGTAAATATTACTGCTCCACTGCTGTACTTATTACTGACTTGTCCAATAATTAAAAAACAAGGACAATATTGTAAGGACAGGAAGAGGTGTCAAAGATACATTTTCACTGCCACTCTTAGCAGGATGGAGTCTTCTGTAGTTTTGTTCTATCCACTCATTACTTATTACTCTCTTGCTTTGTCTACAACAGAATTATGGCTTAACAGTAATCATTGCCATCATTTGCCCAAGCAATTCACCAAAAATTTGGAGGGAGAGAGGATCCAGTGCCTCAGGAGATCACCACTGTTCTTCTTGATTTCTCTTGTGAAAAATAATCAGGCTCTCTCCACCAGTCCCCTTCACTCCTCAGCATTAGGCCTTGGAAGCAAATGGGGAGTCTGCCAACACTTCCACTTTTAGTATTGGAAAAATTAGAGGTAAGACCAGGACAAACTTGATGTGGAGGGTGTTCTAGGTATGGGGGCTGCAAGAAGCAGACCAGAAAGTGATGCAGTTCCTGGATGAGAGCAGAGGACACCTGATCTTCAAGGCAAAAGGACTACAGTGAAGGTAGGAATGAGTTCAAATTCAATTTGTTTGTCTGGGAAGTCTAGAGGACATATGGGAGGAAAGTAGTTCAAGAACTAAGCTAGAGTGAGCATTAAAATTTTGCACTGGTGTGTTTCTAACACACACACCTACATCCTAAACAACACACCTAATGCTGTGTGGGTTAAACTTCTGGTTTGGGATTGTGACTCAGGGCTTTGTCAAATTAGAATTTGGTTCTCCTAAAAATGATTATTAGCTCTTTAGTGAATCAGGTGAAAGTTTGCTGGGAATATAAAAGTGCCTTGTGATTCTCAGGACTGTTTCAGACCTGATCACTAAAGAAATTTCCTGGGACTAGTTGAACCTTGGTCTCAGGTTAATGGACTCACTAGCAGAACTTGATGTTCAGACGTAATAAACGAGATTCCTGTAGACTGCTTTAGGCTCCAATTACTCTGTAAGATTTATGTTAATGCATACATTTCTGCCATTTCAGGAATACCTTCAAAATATATTTCAGGAGAACAAGTTAGTCTTTTGTGAATTCCCTCACTGTAACCCTCTGTCCTTTATGACTTTATTTCCAGCATTACCAGAATGGAGCATGAAAAGCTGTCCCACCAATTGATGCTCTTCATGCAACACCCAGCTCTCTACCAGTGGTTGCTCCTAGGAATAAAGCTGCGTGCAGATACAAGTGGAGGAGCAGTGAAGTGACTTGTGTTTCCTGTGGAAGTCTGTCTTCACAGGTAGTTCTGCAAAGAGAGAACATAAGTGGGATGGTAGTTTGGCTCTGCATCCTTTGGATAAGGAAGGAGGTTTTCAGGGAGCAGTAGGATGAGCTTGCTGATTGGAATGTTGGGATCTGCCATCTTCCAGCCCACACCCTACATGTGTTTCTTGTTATTAATAGCCTTGTTCTTTACATTGCCACCCTCTTCTCTCTGTCCTTCTTGTTCCTTCTCCAGCTCTGTTACCCTATGGATGATTCATCCCAGCAGCTTTTCCTTCTTTTCCACTGTCCCAATGCCCTGGGTCTATACTGCACTACCACAGACCTGGAAGCACTACAGCAGTGCTAAAAGCATTCATAACAATACAAAACAAGGACAATATTGTAAGGACAGGAAGAGGTGTCAAAGATATATTTTCACCACCACTCTTAGCAGGATGGAGTCTTCTGTAGTTTTGTTCTATCCACTCAGTTGTTGAAGCAACTTCCAAAGGCCAGGCAAGCTGCAAGATATAGTAACATTTCAGAAGAAAATGGTATGAAAAGTTAAAATTATATTATCAAATGTTAGATGTAATTATAGAAATGTATTTATTTTATCCAGTTGTTTTATTCTTTTGTGGGTTTGTATGTTATAAAACAATCTGGAAACAACAGAAATTCAAACTATATAAAACTCTTTGACTCTTTAACAATATATCATCTCATTAGCATGAGGCATGAAGAATGCAGATATTATGCTTTAAAACTCATATTTTTCAATTTAAATTTCTCACATAATGGTCACATTTTATCACAGTAAGTGGGAATCTTGCCATTAATTTCAGTCACCAGTATTTGACTCATTTAAGAATAAAAAATATCCTATTTCAGTGATGGCATATTGGAGCTCAAGCAAAATATCATGATTACACAGCATAGATGTGTACTTTAGAATTTAGGTTGGGTTGGTTTTGGTTTTTTTTTTGCTTCACACTGCAGGTGGGCTCTGTAGTTTTTGTAGTGTTTCTTCCCTAGATTGATGTCCAGTCTCTCAGCAACCCTTCAATAGACATTTTCTGCTAAGGCGAAGTGTTATTTGTCACTAAGTGCATGTGAATACAAACTGAATCATCAAATCAGGACTTTAAAAAGCAAGAGGAAGAAAGAGATAAAATAAAGGTGATTGCTCTGTATGAGACACTGGGCCCTTTAAAAAATGGGGAAATGGTAACTCCTAGAAGATGAGCTGGATATTCATGGACACAAGCAAGTTAGCTGCTGTTACAGATAGTGTGAAACAGAAAGCTTTTGTAGTTTTTCCCTGACTGCTACTTCATTTAATCATTTGCAGCAATGAGGAGTGACAGTAAAAGCACATACAGGAAAATCAATGTGATAATGTGTATATATGTATTGCACGGCATCTGTGAATGCACCAGAGGTTATCCACCATCTACTGCTACACTTCTGTCTTATAAGAGAAAATGGAAGCATAGTCTGAATAAAAAGAACAGTGGGAATCAATCAATTTCCTGCCAATGTGCAGACATCGCTATTGATAGTCTTTAGCAAAATTACAATATGTTGTCCAAGATCTGGGTTTGGCAGAGATGGCTGATGAATCTTCAAGGTAATGTGATGATTTTTTTATATCTACTTTTATTTTTTTTCTCTAATATAGGCATTGTTGCTGTGGTCTGTGACTCAGCTCCATCTTAGTTACACTGAAGGTTTCGAGAGACTGGGCAGTTGTAGGAAACACTGACTGAAAGGTGACTAGTGGGGGAATTTTATCACCTAATACTGAAATTGCCCTGACACGCCTGTGTGTAGAATTTTTACCTCAAACTTCCGGGCTGCAAACCTAAATAGCACAGCTCAAACATTTAGCTCAGAGGGGGAGTTTTGATGACAAACTGAGTGTGCAAGGTGAGGGAGAACTATAGAGCAAAAAGATGATTAGTCAGACAAAAGCAAAAGGCTGAGGCCAAGGGAAAGAAGAAAAGTGTGGAAACCAGATTTCTGGATGTAAATCTGGTTGTAGTGTAATCCCCATCATCCCAGGCTATAAGGTAACACACTTGGAGCATTTTTGGGGTCAAAAAATGCTCAGATTAAAAAAAAAAAATGAGATTTTAACAATAAGCAGATGCTTAGAAAAGAGAGGCCAAGTGAGAGGTACAGCAGGGATATGGGTGGCCCAGGTGAGGGCAGGTGTCCTGAGGTGCAGGACCTCATGACTGTGCCACCTGAATTCCAGCAGCAGATCAGGGTTCACCTTCAGCCTTTACTTTGATGAAGGCATTGATAGGGCTTTTGCTTTCCCCTGTTTGTCCTGAAACTTGGAAAGGATTTTCTTCTTTAAAATCTCCACTTTCCCATTGTATTTGGTATCACCCAGTGGGCTCTGAGGGACAAATCACAGCATTAGATTTGTTTGCCTAGAAAACCTGGCTAGAGGGGATATGAAATAATATTATAGATGTTCATGGCACAGGTGGCTGAAGTAAAACAATTTGAAGAGAAAAAGATGTTCTTGGGTTTAACCAAGATGGATTCCTGTGGCGAAAAAGCATATTTTTCTGTAATTGTGGACTATATCATAATGCTTATACAGGAGGGAAAAAAAGTTTCTTCAGGCACTGAAGATTCTTCTTTACTCTTATTTCCTAACTTCTAAATGCTTGACTACAGCTACATAACTTTTTTAACATTTTTTTTCTGAGTGTGTGAAATACATGTATAGAGTACAGCAACTGTTCAAGTGTGAATTTATTTTTAAATAGAGTTGACTCCTTTTATTAGTATAGGTGCTATGGAAGTAGAAACATTTCTATATTATCACCATCTATCTTTTGAAAAAGAGATATATATTTTTACCTTGGCAATTCTGGTAGCAAGGTGGAGGCAGTTTTACAATAATCTGAATATATTTAAGGTGTGCAGTTCATTTTTGTACCTAATGAATAACTGTGTGCCTGAGTGGGTGGATAGAAAATAAGAAGCTTTTGGATCAGATAGAGAAAGTGAAACATGTTACATCTATGCACATAACATAGATATTTCAGTACATTTGATAAAGCCACTGTTAAATACCATTTTTAATGCATGTGATGGCAATCGGTTTCCTTTGAAAACTGTGGTTCTGGGGGTGGGGAGGAGAAATGTCTGTACCTTTCCTAAAGGAATACAAGTGTTTCATTTAATTAAAGCAGAAATCACATTATTTTGCAGTCAGATTTCTCCTATGGCCCCTGCGGTGCTGTAGGAAGCGATGGAACAGAAGCTGGCACCGGCTGAAAGCACTGCCAGCAGAGTGGGTGCTCGCTGACGGGGCGGCACCGGGTTCTCCTGCACCCACTGGAGTCCAGCACCTTTGCTCTGCAGCTGCCCCGTGCAGCTACAAAAGACAGACTACCAAACGCTTTGCTCACACACATTTGGTAATTAATAGTGAAATGACAACGAGGAACGCTGAGGCAAATTAAGAAGCGCGTTATCAAGAGAGTGCTGTGGAAATGGTCCAACAGTCTGCACCAGGGAGGCTCAGGCACAGAACAGAAGGAGACCTGCAGAGATGTCTGAGGTTGCACGCAAGAGTCTTCTGCCCCGTTCCCATGCAAAAGGATGGACAGTTCAAAAGCACCTGTCAGTCCTGCTGGCTGAGAGGTCTCAGCTCCTCACAGGGCAGCTGCTGTCCCTGTTGCCCAACTAACCAGCAACTACAACTAAGCAGCTAACCAGCTAGAGTTTGGGGAACAAGATGCTCCCTGGTTACTCAAAAGTCATCTTTTGGGAGGACTACAGAGCTTTGCTTCTTTCAAGCAGCCCCATTTGTGAGCCGGTGCGATGAAATTCTCTGTGTTCTTTAGCGCTTCCTTGGTAAAACCAGCAAAAATTTATCTACAAGGGACATTATGTGTTGATATAGAAAAAGTAAGCATCCCTTGGGAATTACCTGTGGTGGCTGCTGTTCCATTATTTTCTCTAACCCTTCCTTTGGCAACAAAAAGGGGTCCTTCATTCATCAGGAACATTTAGGTTGATATAGATTATCTAGAAGAAAAAGAAACATTACATACAACAATCAGGGTGGCATTGATTAAGTTGTGCTTTTCTTTTTCACCTGTGTGATTTTGATATAAAATATCAAAAACATGATTCCATCAAACCACTTCTGAAAGACCCTATGGCCTCAGAGCTTACAGTCTTTCTGTGTTCTGTGCCTTTTAGAGCAATTTCATCCAGCCTTTGTATCAGCTTCCACTGAATGTCTTAGAAATGTTAAAATCATCTAATTCAGCATTATTTGATTGCTGCATATCAATACAGAGAACGGTGCATTGCAACATTCTCATCCTTTGTGAAAAAAAAAAGCAGCATTAATAATGAGAAAGGAAAATGAAGTGTGACACTAAATTCAAGAGGCTGTTCATTTAAGCAGCTTCCAAATGAAACATTTGCACTTTGTGAATAAATCTACATCCTGATGCCTGATATCTGGAGCAAATCTTGACACACCTTGGGTATCTTCATGTTTGGGAGATAGATCCAGTTTTAAGGGTAGAACTGCCACTTTCCACACGTTTGGCTCTCAGTACTCTCTTCTCAACAGGGTTGCATCATGAATTCTGCAATCAGTAGTTCATGTTTCTGGAATGAATGAATCCTGGGAAGGAGACACAGCAGAGGGAAAACAGATATGCTATTTCTTGGCTTCCAGGTCCCATGTGAGCTATTAATTACAAAGCAATCTTAAGAATGCTGATATCCGTGTACAGCCCCCTTACCAAAATAAACTTTATCCAGAATACACATACACCATTAAAATTCAGATATAATTTCAACATATTGAAATATTAATTTTAAATGCATTGCCCTAGGATAGTATAACAGAGGGTGAGGCATGGGAAAGGGAGAAGTACCAGGGGAAAAAGTTCATGACAGAGATGGATTACTCTACTGAAGGCTTGCCCATTTTCCTGGTTCTATGTCTCTCTCCCATGGATGCCTTGGCCACAGCAAGTGGAAGGCTGCTGCTGCCCAAGCTTAGTACACCCATAATCTATGCAAAACAGCTAAATCCCAGCCTCAGAGGGTACCAGCAATTTTTAGCCAGAGCTAGATTTAGCATTTTCAAGTCTTCAGATCATTTCCATTTTACCTCAGACAGGGATGTGGTCAAGCCATTGTGTGGAAAACATTACTTGAAATTTAGGGAGGGACTGGTAAACTGATATTTGTGGAGAAATTACTCTAAATTTTGAGATGTGCATGTTAGAAGGAGAAATAAGCTCTTTAGATCATCCTTGCTTCCCCTGACTGATAACAAACTACCACCATTTTGAAACCTAATGGTTAGTTTATTTATGCTTTCAACGTTGCCTCTGGAAAAAGAAAATAGAGACAGAAATTTGATTTTAAAATGACATATCTCCAAAACTGATGGTATTTAGGATGCCTGTCACTGAAAAGGTAGCGCTTGAAATAAATTGCAAGTGTGATGTATATCAGGGTAAACCTCAGAATTTTCCCAGATATTCTGAAAAGTCTAGAAAAAGAGATGGGTGCCTGGGGCCCTGCTTAGGCATCTGTTTGCCATATGTTTTCACTGAGGAAATAAAATAAAATGTCAGAAAATCTGCAAGAGGTAAAATGTAGGAGGCACCAAACTAAAAATAGCAAGGCTTACATGGAGACTGGACAGCTGGGTCTTCATGGGCTCAAAATGGAGTACAGCTAATGCAGTTCCTACCAAGTGCTTCTGAAGCACAGTGGTGCTGGTCCTCACAGAACCCATGGCTGATCCACAGACCTCCCCCAGACACAGAACAAGGAGGAAGACTGGATTGATTGCCACAGTTGGATACAGGAGACATTAGAGCAGCAAGTTAAAAAGTTATGTGTGTCTGAGGTGCAGGTGTCAGACATGAAGGGAAACTTGTCATTATACGGGGTGCAGGCTATCATGACACCACCCCAGGGGAGAGAAATGTCCGTGTGTACTGACCACTACAGACCACTGGCAGTGAAATAAAGCAAAATATTGAGGGCTCAGCTAGATGGGAAACCACTGGAAAGACAAACAAGCACAGGGAAAAATGCCGAAGAGAACCTTATGGGAAAAAAAGAAGAGAAAACTTGGAGCAATAAGGGGGAAACAGCACAGAAATCGAAATATAAATATGTACAATAAGGTGCATAACTGTATACAAAAACTGTACACAAAGCCCATTAAACCTATTAAAAGCTAATATACCTGTGTCCTTCAGAAAACAGGCAATCCATAATATTTTTTTGCTATTGTGGCTATCAATGTTATTCCTTAATGCTAGATTTGGAGCTGGTGAAACTGGAATAGCCCTGTAAAAACTAATAGAGACAGCAGCTTGTACCAGCAGGAAAATCAGGTCTTGTCTGTTTGCACAGAACCTTTGTTAAGATGGTGTGTGATGAGATTGCTCTGCTGCTTCCTAAAAATAGAGTAACTGGCTGTGTCAGTGATGCAGTGTCAGCATGGATGTTACTAGGACTGGATGAACTATTTAGACTTTTTTTGTTATTCACTAATCATCCATTGACTAACTGATCTTCATTCCTCAGGATCCATTAATTTTTCAAAGACCTCACCTGAAGATTTAGAAGGAAAATATTGTCAATTCTTGTGAGCTGTTAATTGTGACTGCTTGCTGCTTGTGACTTCAATTGCATTGCAGTTTTTATGCTCCATGATGGGACATATGAATTATTATGCAAATTTAATCAGTGGAAACTGTAGCAATGACAAAATAATTCACTAATAGATGGATAGGAAACAATTCCAGAGTTACCTCCTTTTAGTTCCATATAATGTGATGTCTAAAATCCATGGATAAATGATTTGAAGTAAAGGCATGTGAATATAGCGTATGAGGACAGCTGTCACTGTCAACCAGAGCATTAGCTGTGAACCAAAATAAAGTAGTAGAAAATAAAACAAAGAAGGTTTATTTTACAAGACCTGCATTCCATGTAATCGTATTGATTATTGTTAAATGCACCTGAAGTGTTCAATTCTATGTTATGGGCTTCTAAATGAAACTTCTCATTATGTGTCCAGGTTCAGCATCTGAATAACACACCTATATTTTCCTGTATTATCTCTCTGCTCTTTTAAAATAATTGGAATATATTGGGAATTCAGAGGTCTTTGAGGTTTTTCCTGTTTTCCATACTGTGTTTCCCTCTAAGCTGTTTGATTTGTACATCTGTAGTTGCAGCTGACTCTGCATCATATTTTTATTCATTCTAGATGCCAGGTTTTCTGGACCATCTACAGTGTTTTATTGGGCAGATTTATCCTCCTGCTTCCTTCTGAAATCAGAAGAGAGATAGTGATGAACACATCTGTCTTTTCTGAGCCGCTGTTCAAAATTGTAATAGCTGTTTCTAGCAAAATGTAATACCTGTTTCTAGCAAAGGACCAATATTTGGTGCAGAAATTTTTTACTCTGTTTCTTGCATGTTCCTTCTAACTATGTTGCCCATTGATTTTTATGATATAGCTGTTTTTAGCAGGGTACATGCTTTTAATTTCACAGTTAATTATCCTTTTTCTGCATTCTCTGTATTTTTATTGCTAATATTTGACTAGAACTTCTGCATGTTCTTTTTTTTTTTTTTTTAAATACCCAGTAGAATGTTCTTGAACAATTTCCAATTCCTATTAATATTTCCCACATTAAATTGATGTTCCTAGCATGTTAAACCAACAGGGTTTCTTAAGCTTGGACAAATTGTCCCTTTCTTTTTCTGAGTGGTATCTAATTCAGTGTGCATGAAGTAGATGAGAGAGGATTGTGATTACAGGTAGCCAAATAGGCAGGCCTTTACCATCTTAAGGTGTCTGTACTAGCTGCAAGATGCCTATGAAGGCAATGGTCCAGTGGGATGCAGGAAAAAGCACAGAACTTCACTAGTATAGGTATGTAGTTTATAAATAAATAAATGCATGTATGTACTTTATACATAAATATGTGCATATTGGGGGTGCATGCTCAAAAGTTTTTTAGTGATAGTGGCTCACAAAAGCAAAAGTCTAAACTTTTGTTCAGACCAGCACTTGATGAGTAAGTACTCTGTTAGGTTTCAGTGATCCTAAAGTCATGATCAGCCTGCACAGCCCTGGTTTGTCCTGGCCACTGTCAGATGCTGGGATAGATGGACCTTCACTTGGAACTATCATGACTCCTTATATAGCTTTAATCCATAGAATTAAAACCTTCTGCAATGGTCGCTCATCTGCAGCTTTCTGAGAATATATGGGTTTTGATTTAAACTTTCTTTCTCCCTCTTCCCTCCCTACTGAATCTTTAAAATGATCTAGTCATAAATCACCCTTCTACTAGTCAGTATTGAAAACAAACTCATTATACAATATTTTCTTTTTTTTTCACAACCTAGTCTGATTGTAATAAATATACAGACAGTTACAGTGACATCCTTTGCTTTATATATTATGACATGCAGGTTTCTGTGACTGGTTTGGACTCCACTGACTTGATGGTGACAATCTCAGAGCTCTGTGAGCTCTTCACAATATGGGGGGGACTATAATTTGAGATTTAAATCAGTAGTCCGCTTCCAAAGAGTTCCTGTGGTCTAGAAATGTATAGGTTTAAAAACAATATTGAGCCAATTAGACTCTTGTTTTAGGGCAGACTGTCCATTGCAGCTTCATGTCTCTCTCTCTCTCTCTCTCTAAGTTCAGAAAACACATTAGTTTTGGGAGGATTTACTTTTTAGGCCATCTTAACATGCCTTCTAGCCCTGCAAACCTGATGGGTTTTGCAGTCCTGGCTGAGTCTGATCGAAGCTGACATCTGTGGGCTTCTGTGAGGAATGTGGGAAGAACGTACTAAATATGTCAAGTTAGAATCTCCCCAAGCAATTTGACGATTGCTAGTTCAAAAGCACCGCTTTGGAAAAGTGTGCTGACTCATGGCATGAGAGAGGAAGGATTTTTGTTTTTTAAAGCAATGGGCTAGTGTATGGTAGGATCTGGATTCACTTCTTAACTTTCTCAAAGTTGCCACGTGACAGAACCAATTTCTAAAAGCCTCTGTCCATAAAACTTCTCTCCATACAGCAACTATAATATTTTCCTCTGTCTCTTTTCATTTATTGTAAATGTCTTTCGACCTGGAGGTGTCTGTGGATGTCTCCAATTATGTAAGTGAAGAGAACTTGGCATAATGGGCCCCTTATTTCAACTGGGAGTTCTGCAGGCTACTCCTGTGCAAATAATATATGGCATTAAGAGTCCAAAAAGTACCCATGTCTATTATTGCTTCTATTTGATGCTATGTGTATGCAGCAGATCTAAAACTTCAGCCAAAGTATCCTGACATCAAATGGGTAAATAAGTGTCTATTAATAGCATTGCAGACCTGTAAGGAAGGGACAGGAATCACAGAATCACAGAATGTCTTTGGGTTGGATGGGACATTTTTAGTTGAATGGATCCAGTCCCACATTCCTGTAATGGGCAGGAGCACCTTCCACTGGACCAGGTTGCTCAAAGTCACATCCAGCCTGGCCTTGAACACTGCCAGGGGTGGGAAGCCTTCTTTCTACATTGAAAGTCTACAACCAGGTCTCTGTGGA